GGAAAAGATTAGTGGGAAATATAGGATTGGGAAGCCTTTAAAACCAGCAGAAGACAAAAAAATAGAAATAAAGGGGAAAGAAGATGAAATATGAGAGTAAGCTAGAAGGTTGTAAGGGGTTTTTTTTAAGATAACTAAAAGATAAGAGAGAGAGGCAACAGTGGACATTGAACCACTGGAATTTTCTGGAGAGGTAGTAATGGAGAACAAAGAAATGGCAAAGTAACTCAACAGGTACTCTGCATCAGTTTTCACAGTGGAAGACACCAGCAGCATACCAAAACTTCAAGACAGTCAGGGGGCAGAGGTGAATGTAGTACCCATCAATAAAGAGATGATGCTGGGAAAGCTGAAAAGTCTGGAGGTCGATAAACCACTCAGACCAGATGGACCACACCTCAGAGTTCTGAAGGGGATAGCTGAGGAGATTGTAGAAATTGTTTTGAATTCTTTGAGGAGATAAAGAGCAACTTAGGCAAAGGACAGCCCAGTGGACATGATCTGATTGGATTTCCAGAAAGCTTCTGACAAGGTGCTGCACAGGATACTGCTAAATAAGACTGTTAGGGGCAAGATACTGGCATAGATAGACTATTGGATGACTAGCAGAAAGCAGAGAGTAAGGATAAAAGGGTGGCAGTGGGTGACTAGTGGAGTTCCACAGGGGTCCATGTTGGGACCACAACTATTCACATTATAATCAATGATCTGGATGAAAAAATAGCGGTCTCATTGTTGCTAAATTTGCAAATGACACAAAGACAGGTGGACAAATAGGTAGTGCTGAGGAAGGAGGGAGGCTGCATAAGGACTTGGACAGATTAAGAGTTTGGGCAAAGAAATGGCAGATGGAATACAATGTGGGAAAGTGTGAGGTTATGCATAGAAACATAAAAGATAGGAGCAAGAGGAGGCCATTCTGCCCTTTGAGCCTGCTCTGCCATTCTTCACGATCACGGCTAATTGTCCAATTCAATAGCCTAATCCTGCTTTCGCCATATAACCTTTGATCCCATTCGTCCCAAGTTCTATATCTAGTAGCCTCTTGAATACATTCAATGTTTTGGCATCAACTACTTCCTGTGGTAATGAATTCCACAGGCTCA